AATAAATGTTTGTTTTTTAAAAGAATAAAATAACGAAAAGAATGAATAGGTATATGGTTGGTGAATAGGTAAATAGGTGAATAGGTGAATAGATGAATAGATGAATAGATTAATAGATGAATAAATGAATAGATGAATAGATTAATAGATGAATAGATGATTAGATGAATAGATGAATAGATAAATAGATGCATAGATGAATAGATGAATAGATGAATAGATGAATAGATGAATAGATGAATAGAAATAGATGAATAGATGAATAGATGAATAGATGAATAGGTGAATAGATGAATAGATGAATAGATGAATAGATGAATAGATGAATAGATGAATAGATGAATAGATGAATAGATGAATAGATGAATAGGTGAATAGATGAATAGATGAATATATGAATAGATGAATAGATGAATAGATGAATGGGTGAATAGATGAATTGATGAAAGGATGAATAGATGAATAGATGAATAGATGAATAGATAGATCATACTGGGAAAATGTATTTATGTATATTAAAGTATAAAATAATACCAGACAGATGTACCACATTTTACCGAAAGCGAAACCTAATCTCAATAAAGAACCCCCTCCCCCCGCACCTCCCCCCCGTAATCAAACACCATATCTTGAATCTTTAATTAAGGGTTTTGAACAAAATATTAAGAAAAAAGGTGTTTTGCTTGACTTTACTTGAGTTTGAGTAAAGTGTAGATTAACTGTTTTTTGTTATTATCCACATTTTTTTTTATCTTTTTAAAAAAGTGTTTGTTTCAAAATGATTTTTATAGTTTTTCTATTACTGTTCTTGTCTTTCTATAAGTATTATTGTGCTTTCATAGTTCTTGTTCTATGATAGTTCTTGTTTTATAAAGTTCTTGTTCTATGATAGTTCTTGTTCTATGATAATTCTTGTCCTATTATAATTCTTGTTCTATGATAGAACTTGTTCTATGATAGTACTTGTTCTATGATAGTTCTATGATTTTTATTGTTCTATAATAGTTCTTGTTCTATGATAGTTCTTGTTCTATGATAGTTCTTGATCTATGATAGTTCTTGTTCTATGATAGTTCTTGTTCAATGATAGTTCCCATGAAAATGCACTACTTTAGTTAAACCTTTAAGAGTGTATCGTGCTCATTACTATAACCTTGTCTTGCACTGTCTTTATTTCATAGATTTTCTAGATTAAACCCAGCTTTGAATAGATAGATAGATGAATAGATGGATCGATAAATAGATGAATAGATGGATCGATAGATAGATAAATAGATGGATCGATAGATAGATGAATAGATGTATCAGTAGATAGATGAATAGATGGATCGATAGATAGATGAATAGATGTATCGATAAATAGATGTATAGATGTATACATGAATGAAGTAAATGCCCTACTCCATAACAGTTTATCGGACCGTATCTATCCAGGTACAATTTAGATTCTCTTGACTATCAATGTCAACCCACGGCTGCACTGCAATACCGTAAACTATCAACGCCAGTACAACTGGGTGCGATCTTGTTAGCTATCGGTGTCAATACGGACACTAGCAAGTAATTGATCAATGTCTCAACCATACGGCTACAGCCACGTAAACTATCAACGCCAGTACTACTGGGCGCAATCTCGTTAGCTATCAAACAAGCTCTTACTCGATCTGTACCATATACCGAGGAACGATCTCAGCCTGGATGTTTCAACGAGTACACAATTACTCCACACTGTAATCAAATAGAAGTTTACAAACATAGATATAGTTAAAAATGTACACCGTACTGCAGGTTTACAGAATATCGTGTTAACTGATATTTATTACATGAATAAATAGATAGATAGATAGATGGATAGATGCAAAGATAGATAGATAGATGAACAGATGAGTGACCGAGAATGTTTCTAATTTAGAAGAATATTTCAGTACTATTCTTAGCCAAGAAGAACAAGAGAAACGCCCAATTTTTTGCTTGTTGTCTCATATATCTCATAAACTCACAACTCCTCCTTCTTCTTGTAAAACCTTTACTGTTAATTACGGTTGAGTATTTAAGCAGATTAAAACCTGTTCTGCTCTGATATATAAACTCCAGGTGTGTTCAACTATTACCTTTTTTTCCTCAACGCCTTTTTTACATTTTTCTTTCCACCCCTCTTCATTTTTTTTATTTAAATTTTTAAATGTTTATAGATTTTGAATTTTTTGTTTAGTTTTCTATATCTTTATCTTAATGTTAAAGTTCTTAACCTTCTTCTTCTTTTGTTTGGTTCTCTCATTCTATTCTGACGCCTGTACCGATTCATCTCCCCCCCCCCTCTGTCTTACTTTATCTTTATAGGGAGTACGGCAAAAAAAATGAAAAAAAGAGGGTAGGAGGAAATATCAGAAGAAAAAAATCGTAAACACTCCCTTTAAAGCATTCGACATTAACAGGTGGATTAAGGCCTACGCGCTATGACCTAATCATTTCATAACGGTCAGTGGGATCTAATGGATTTATTAATCATCTTTTTATACGTTTATTTTTATAAAAATATTTTAAGTCTACAATTTGAATCATTTAAAATATGGAAAGCTAAATTTTCCATTAAAACTAAGATTTGTTTATAAAATGTTGAACCCCTTGTGTAGTACAATGCACCCAAAGTCATATCTATGAGAACCTTTCAAATATTGATGAATGGGTGTGTATTTGAGAAAAGCAAATTAAATTCCCTTTTTAGACATATAATTGGTAATGCAGCAGCCAGTATTATCCAATCAACTGAGAAAACTGTATCTTTATCATTGAAAGCTCTTCTTCTTCATAAAATTGTAAATTAATAAATTTAACAAGTTTCGAGGATTATTCGACATTTCGAATTTTGCAGATTTAAAAAAAATTGGCGGATTTCTGTCCCTGGCTCCGTTAGTGTGGAACCTGTTCTATATTCCAGGCGGCCTTTCCACCCACGCAACCAAACCAAACATGGGCAGCAGCTCATTGCCGCACCACTGCATTTCTTGCTGACGTCATCTTTTTACAAAATGGCGGCTGACAAAAACCAGATGGTCGGCTGATTAGCTCCAAAATGCTGATGGAATTTGAGACACCTTGACTAATTTTACAAAGCATACAATTGGTTAAAGCATGAACAAGTACTTTTCACCCTTTGTTGTGTTGTGGAATCGAAAAAAGACTTATTCAGAGTGAATGTTAAGTACCGAGACCTAAATTCAATATTTACACTTTTGGGTAGAAATAACAAAAGAAAAATTAAATTTTGCGGAAGAATTTTTTTTTTTGAAAAAATAACAGCAAACAATATCTAGACATACGCTGACTCCCTAAATATATTTATAAGAATGAAATTATAAGGATTAAGATAAATATAGAGAGTCATATATGGTTTCAGGTCTGCCTTAAAAGGGCGGGTCCGGGGGGCCATTAAGTACCTTCAATAGTCTAAAACTGTTTTTGTTTCTGCCCCCAAATCAAGTGTTTAAGAGTTTTCGCCCCAGGGGGGGAACATTTTACTCTTCACGCTGATTTCTATCTGACGTTTCTTGTGTTACAGACATTTTTATTCTTTATGTTTAGATTTGGCTCTCTATTAATCTTTCATTGTTAGATTAAATCTAACCTATCTTCATTTCAAAAGTTTTAATAAAATAATTTTTTATAATTATGTAGTTTACTTTACGAATAATTTATGAAAAATAAACTGAGATTAAGCTTAACTTATTCCAAAATAAATATTCTTTTTCTTTTTCAAGTTGCCACCCCCCCTAACCTTGGGGGTTTGCATTTTAAGAGAGAG